TATATATGTGTTTTCCGATGGTCTTAGGCGACCCCTGTGAAAGGGTCATTCGACCCCCCAAAGGGGTCGCGACCCACAGGTTGAGAACCACTGACCTAGAGAGAGAAATAAGCTCTGCCTCTTCAGGTTCACCTGGGTGTTGTTTGGGTGTTTGTTGTTTGCAGTTTTTGGATTAGTTGTAATTTGTTGTTTGCATTCTTCTCTGGGTGTTTGTTGTTGGCATTTTTTTTGGATTAGTTGTTGTTTTTTTGGAGTTTTCTCCCCAGATACATATATAGTTTTCCCTTCTTTTTTCTTCTCTTTTTTTCCTCCTTTACATTTTTTCCTTATCTCAATATTATTTTTGCACTCTTTTCTCTCCCCTAATTCTCTTTTCTCTGGTGGTCACTTTATTTGAAGTTATTGGTATGGTGAATCCATTTGTGTTTGGTACCCTGTGTGTTGTGTCTTGTGGTGCTGTATTTTGTGCCTTTAAGTTAATGCAGGAGAGAGAGGACATCATAACCAGACACCCTGAGAGGAGCGAACATAGGGAGACAAAGAAACAGCCCCCATACAAAAGAAAAGAGGAATCACCGTAAAAGGAAATAAACGAAATGCAGGCAAGCAATTTGTCAGAGAAAGAATTCAAAGCAATGGTCATAAGGACACCGAAATGGATGGAAGACAAATTAAATAATATGTGTAAGAATCAAGAGGAAATGAAGAAGAACCAAGAAGAAATGAAGAATGACATCACTGCAATAAAGAACACAATAGAAAGTATCCACAGTAACTAGAAGAAGTGGAGGACAGCATCAGTGAGCTGGAAGACAAGGTAGGAAAAACTACCCACACAGAGAAGCAACTGGAAAAAAAAACTTAAAAAACAGGAGGAGAGCCTAAGGGAACTTTGGGACAACACAAAATGAAACAATATCTGCATAAGAGGGGTGTCAGAAGGAGAGGAAACTGAGCAAGAAAAAAAAATCCTGTTTGAAGAAATAATGTCAGAAAACTTCCCTGATATCAGGAAGAAAGAACTCACACAAGTCTAAGAAGCTCACAGAGTCCCAAACAAGATGAACCCCAAAAGACCGACACCATACACATTATAATTAAATCGGCAAACACCAATGACAAAGTAAGAATCTTAAAGGCTGCCAGAGAGAGACAGAAAGTTACCTACAAGGGATCTCCCATCAGACTATCAACTGATTTCTCAACAGAAACACATCAGGCCAGAAGGGAATGGACTGAAATATACAAAGTCATGCAAAGCAAGGGTCTGAATCCAAGAATACTGTACCCAGCAAGGCTATCAATCAAAGTTGAGGGTGAAATCAGGAGCTTCACAGACAAAAAAGGACTGAGGGAGTTTATTACCACCAAACCAGCAATGCTAAAGGGTCTGCTGTCAAAAGAAGAAATAGGAAGGGAAGAAGTAACACAGGCATAAAGAATAAAATGGCGACAAACAAGTACCTATCAATGATAACTTTAAATGTAAATGGATTAAATGCCCCAATTATAATATATAGATTAGCTGAATGGATAAGAAAATATGACCCATATATCTGCTGTCTACAGGAGACCCACCTCAGAACAAAGTATTCACACAGACTGATGGTGAAATAATGGAAAAAGTTTTTTCAGGCAAATGAAAATGAAAAAAAAAAAATGCTGGCATAGTAATACTGATATCTAACAAATTAGACCTCAAAGGGAATGCCATAACAAGAGATAAGGAAGGCCACTTCATAATACTAAAGGGAACAATTAAACAAGAAGATATAACTCTGCTAAACATATATGCACCCAATACAGGAGCATCCAAATACATGAAAAAACTTCTGGAAAATATCCAGGGAGAGATTTACCGCAATACAGTCATAGTAGCGGACTTTAATACCCCACTAACACCATTGGATAAATCCTCTAAACAAAAAATCAGCAAAGAAACATCAATGCTAAGTGACGCACTAGATCAGATGGAATTAATTGACATCTTCAGAACATTTCACTCCAAAGCCACAGAATATACATTCTTCTCAAGTGCACAGGGGTCATTTTCAATGATAGACCACATATTGGGGCACAGGCAAAGTCTCTTTAAATTGAAGAAGATAGAAAACATATCAAGCATCTTCTCAGATCACAATGGCAGAAAATTAGAAATCAACTACAATAAAAACAATGAATGAAATCAAATACCTGAGGCTAAATAGCATGCTATTAAACAATGATTAGGTTACCAAAGAGATCAAAGAAGAAATAAAAAGCATCATGGCAATAAATGACAATGAAAACACAACAATCAAAATATATGGGCACAGTTAAAGGAGCATTGAGAGGGAAGTTCATAGCTCTACAGGCCTACCTCAAAAACCAAGAAAAAAATGGAAATAAATTATCTAACCCTACAACTCAAAGAGTTAGAAAGAGAGAAACAAGAAAACCCCGGTGTAAGCAGAAGGAAGGAAATAATAAAGATCAGAGTGGAAATAAACGACATAGAGACCAAAAACACAATACAAAAGATCAACAAAACCAAGAGATGATTCTTTAAAAGGATAAACAAGACTGATGAACCTCTGGCCAGGCTCACCAAGAAGCAAAGAGAGAGGACCCAAATAAACAAAATCAGAAATGAAAGAGATGAAGTAACAACTGATCCTATAGCAGTGATGGCGAACCTTTTGAGCTCAGCGTGTCAGCATTTTGAAAAACCCTAACTTAACTCTGATGCCGTGTCACATATAGAAATATTTTGATATATGCAACCATAGTAAAACAAAGATTTACATTTTTGATATTTATTTTATATATTTAAATGCCATTTAACAAAGAAAAATCAACCAAAAAAATGAGTTCGAGTGTCACCTCTGACACGCATGTTATAGGTTCGCCATCACTGTCCTATAGAAATACAAAGGATTATGAAACAAAGCAATGAACAACCTATTCCAAAAAAATGGACAACCTAGACAAAAAGGACATATTTTTAGAAAAATACAAGCTCCCAAAGCTCAATGAGGAAGAATTAAAAAACCTGAATAGGCCGATAACCACCAAAGAAATTAAAATACTGATCAGAAATCTTACAGCAAACAATAGCCCTGGT